GACTGGCCCCGAGGTGGGGCCGGGCAGCGGAGGCCCCCCGCTCACGGGAGAGCCCCTGACTGGCCCCGAGGTGGGGCCGGGCAGCGGAGGCCCCCCGCTCACGGGAGAGCCCCTGGGGCCGGGCTCCCGTGATGAGACGGTGCCCTGGGGGGTGTCTCGGGGTCTCCTCCCATTGTCCAGGTCAGGAGAGGCTTCCTGGAGGGGGGCACAGGTGGCATGCCTGCTGAGGGTGCTGAGTGCATCAGCCTTGTCATGTGGAGCCCCTGAGGGTGGATCAGAAGGGGGGCACCCTGCTTGTGGTCGCACCCCTGTACCCCAGCCCGCAGACTTCCTCAGCACGGAAATGCTCCCGTCTTCGACCGCGGAGGCTGTCGGTCCGGCACCCCGGGGCCTCAGCTGTGCCCGCAGGGAGGGGCCCCCCGCTCAGGAGCCCCCTTTCTGCGTGGGAAGCATTGATTTCGAGCTGAAGGGAGCTCACGTTTGCTCCTGGTTTCCTGTAATTTTATCTTTCCTTTTCATTTAAGGGGGAAAAGCCCCATCATGTCATAAAAAGCAGTTTCGAGAACTTAAGAAAATTTCTTCCTGGCCCACCTGTCATGGAGAGGGCAGCTGTCAGGCCTCCACACCCCAAGTGAAACTGACTTGAAAGTGGCCCTCATCTGCGGGCTGACGCCCCCGGTTCCCCGTGGCCGAGTGCCGACTGCCTTCCTCTTGCTGGTTGCTCACACTTGAACCCGGGCCCCAGGCACCCCCGGGCCCCGCCCTCACGTGCACACACTCAGTGCACCCGGCTGCCCCTGGCGGGGCGTCATGGCCCCCGGTGGAGACCCTAGGGGCCCCCAAATCTAGCCAGCAAGCCCAGCAGTCACTGCAGACGAACATGACCGCTTTTCTGAGCAGGGGGTGAAGGGGACCTGACTCACAGCCTCCCGGACACGTGTGGTCAGCCTCCAGCTGGCCTGACGTCGCCGTGTGGGCTGGAGTGGGTGGGAAAGCCGCTGAGGGGGGACCGTGGTGGCAAAGGAGCCTGGGGGAGGGCGGGGCCCTGGTGGCCAGGAAGGAGAAACGGCTGTGAGGTCCCCCACCCTGCTGGCTCACTGACCGGGGCTCAGCTATCTGCGCCGCATGGACCTGCTGGGCAACAGATACCCCCAGGGCCTCTCCGGCGGCGGCGTCCCCTGCGCTGGGCTGTCCAGACGCTGCTGCCCCAGCCCAGAGTCCCCTGGTCTCTGCGCTTATCGCATGTCGCCTGTCCCCACTCAGAGGCTTTGTGAGCCCCTTAAAGTCGCCAAATAGAAATGCGAAGCCACCCCTCCCCCGCCAGCCCCTGCACCCATGTTCCCGTCCAGACGGCCAGAGCGACCATGTGTCCAGCCAGACGTGGGGCATCATCCTCACGTCTCTGTGCTCACCCTGCTGCAGCCATCTGAGCGCAGCCCCGGTCACCTGGGCCGTCCCAGCTGGTCAGTGGCAAGCCGGTCTCCACCCCCACATCTGGCCTCTCCAGGGGACTCCAGCAGCTCCCGGAAGCCGCCTCCCTCCCCACAGGGACCGTGAACCAGTGGTGGGAAAGGAGGCGTCGCACTGAGGTAGGAGTGTCGAGTCACTCTCGGGATGGTCTCAAGTCCACGGGCCTTCGGCACAAATATTCAGTGTCCACTGTGGCGTCCTTTCCTACACCAGAGCCGGCATCCTGGGGCCATCCTGGGGTGGTGCTTGGCCACCTTCATTCAGAGCATCTGTGGCGCCAGGAGCCCCCAGAGTGGGGAACACTGAGAGGCCAGTGTATGGGGGGGGGCTGATCAAGGTGACCAGTCCCCTCGGGCTTTTGAGACCTTAGGGCTCTCTGGGGAGCGTGACCCCGCCCCCCGGGAGGCTGTGTACGTGGTTCACCCTTGCAGGGTCCCTCCTGCTCTCCCGCCGCCATGAGACACTCGTGCTTCTCATCTGCCAAGACCAGAGGCGTCGCATCACCAGGGCGATTCGAGTAAAATCTAAAAATAAAACAAGGAGGTTTTGAGGGAGGCTCCAAGGTGCCTCTGATTAAAATGCACAAGCCTTGATGTAGAAGTTTTTCTTTTCTATCATCAGTCTGCTTATTTGGATGGTTCTGGGAAGTCCTGGGGAGGTGCGTTTGCCAGAGAACGAGAGAGAGAACGGTGTTGGGGTGACTCGGGGGACAGTGGGCTGCGCTTCCTCCCATGGGCCTGCCCAGCTTGGACACGCGGGTGGGTTTGGCAACTCTCGCATTCCCTTCGCCTGTGGCTCAAGAGGCTGCAGTGAGCAGCAGAATCGCAAGGCAGAGTGGGGGAAGGTCTTGTAAATCAACCGTGCTCTGTGCAAGTTTCAAAAAAATGGTGGAAAGAGACAGGTGACAGAAGTCGTGGCGAGCTCTCCCGAGGCATGAATACCGGCAAAGAGCAGATGCAGAACCTTTTATTTGAAAGGGACAGGAGAGACTTCTCTCCACGATTTATGTCTCCCTCCATTTGGCTCACTGCATGAGTAAAAGTAATGAATCTGCCCACGAGAACATGCAAATTCCAAAGGAAAAGAGCAGATTAATGTTGCAGGTAGGTGTTCATTCATTGCACCAAATGCTTACAGAAAATGTTCAGGTGTGAGTCTCCTCCGGCAGAAGGAGTGTGTTATCAGAAGGAAAAATAAGCCTCCGTATATTGAAAACCAGAAAGTCAGGAAAGAATATTGCCTTCTTAATAATAAACACATTTTGTGGGCAAGAATTGCAAGGGAATCGTTTAAATTAATTTCCGCTTTGTTTGTTTGGTTTGTACAGGGCTCAAGTCCCAGCTGACAGAAATCTGTAAAAGTTCTAACATATTGGAAATCTGATTTTGTTGCAGCCAGAATCCCATAGTCCAGAATGATTTTTCTTTCCCCTCTGCTAAGCAGACAGGCAGGACTCCGATGCACACCCAGTCCAGACAAATCACACACTCGGTCTCTTGGAGGTGTAAAAAAATACGCATGACAAAAGCTTCAAGTCCAGGGTGGCTGGTCCTTTTCCCCCACAGAGCTGGTGTCAGGGGCTGGGGCGTTGGGGAGGGTGAAGGAAGACTCCCCCTGCTCGTCCTAGGGCTTTGGGGCCCTGCTTTTCTTTCTGCCCCACCCCTCTGGAATTCGTGCTCTGGGAGGCCACGGGCACCCTGAAAGAGATGGTTCCAGTGAGGAGCTGGAGGCTGTCAAGGCAAAACAAATCCTCTTCCCCCTCACACTCGCGGGGTTCGGTTGCCAGAGGGACCTGATTTGTTACTCTTCTCCTTAGACCCCCTTCTCCACTTCTGCCTGCAGTCATCCCCAACAGTGCCAGTGCCACAAGCGCAGCTGCAGGACTCCTGTCCCTCTCGCTGGCAGGCCCCACCCCCTGGGTCTGTGCCCCTCCTCACTGTCCACCCACACACCGCTCCTGGACTTCAGCTGCCTGCCACCCACCTTATTCTCTAATCTGGCGTATTCGCCAAAGCCAAAACCAACTGCAAGGGGTGCGTGTTTATACCTAGAACACACACACACATACAAATAAGCAGGCTAAAAACCACGGAGGAGGAAATGCACAGGGCCCCCTGGCTTTGGAGGTCCGTCCCAGGAAGCCCATCCCTTCTCCTCCACTGCCTCAGACCTGCCAGCAGTCAGTGCGCCTCTTCGGGTGGTGATGGCACTCTGAACAGGAAAGATCTGCAGTGTGTGTGTGTTTGAATCGATTCTGGAGCCTTCTGTCGTCCCTCCCCATACACCAGGGGGTCCTAGCCTGGGTGCCATGAATGAACTCCAGGTTAACGCCCAGCCTCTAAGTTTATAGGCAAAACCATGCAAACGAGCATTCTCCTGCTCCGTGGTTCTGGGTGTGCGCATGTCCCCATGGTCCCCAGGGTGAGCTCCCGGCGTCCAGCCTGTTGCGGCCCTCAGCCTGGGCGCCGGAGCAGGCGCCTGCGTGCCTGGGCTGGTGGCAGTTCTGCGGCGCTCCTGTGCCTCTCTGTTGCACTGTCTTCCTACTTTCCTTTCTTCTTTCCAACTGAACTCTCGTTTTTCCTCTCTCCCTAGTGCTTGTACGGCTGCTATGTCCATTCCTCCATCATCCCCACCTTCCACCGGAGGTGCTACTGGCTCCTTCAGGTAGGTGGCTGGGCCTGGATTCTTCTTCTGTCTCTGGTGCTGGGAAGGGTCTGTGGGGGCATTGAGTGGGCACGGGACTCCTGTGTGTGAGGGCGCCCTGGCCCGGGCTGAGGCTCCTGTGAGCTTTTCTGGAGGGATTTTGGTGTGTAGTGTTGGGGTCAACTGTGTGGCTGGCCTGGGCCAGGGTCAGTGCCCAAAAGGCAAGAAGGTCTGAGTGTGGAGGGGGTGGGGGGGCTTGTCCTTGCCCACCCCAGGGCCCAAGCCAGGTGTTATCAGGATGCCTCTTCTCAGGATGAAGGAAGAGAGAAGGTTGAGCATCTGCTCTGCCTGTGCAGTGCCTCTTGACTGAAAGTACATTTTCTTGGCGGGTTAGCCTGGACATGTGTGGCAGTGGGCTTCTGGAGACATGCCAGGTGCAGTCGGATTGATTGGGAGAGGAAGAGTCCTAGATTAGCAAGGAAGAGTTTCTGGTCGGATTTGTGCTGTCTGCTGTGAAGCTGGTGGAGAAATGGGAGGCTCCCAGTTACCAGCCGCCAAGGGTGAAGGCGCCGATCTCTGTCCATGGTGCTGTTGTGTGGTTTCTGTCCATGGTGCTGCTTGTGGTTTCTGTCCATGGTGCTGAGTACATCCCGGGCTTCCCTCTTCTTGCTGATTAATGGTTGTTTATGGTCATCCTGCGTCATGGAGGGTGCTGATGTGTGAGTAGGAAGGTCCGAGGGGTCTACCCAGTAAGGCTGGACCTGGATACTTTTAAAGTTTGACCTCAAATATCAGCTACTCTTTAGAACCCAGCCCCGCTGGGCCTGGCACCAACCCCTCAAATTCTTCCCACCGTCTCTATCTAGGATCTGCTGCGTCTGGCCTTCCCTGCTATTTTCTGCACCCACTATTCAAATTGGCCAGCCCCTGGGCCACGGTGGTTTGGGGGTGTGGATGGGAGAGTCTGAGCAGGTAAGACCCACCCCAGGGTGATCCTATGTGTTCAGAGAGAAGAGGGTCCCATGTGCCGTGGAGAGTAGAGACCCCAGGGAAGGTGGCCTGGAAGGTGCCCTCGGGCCCCAGAGCCACCTGGGCAGTGGATGCCCAGGCCCACCCTAGACTAGGGCTGCCATGCAGCTCTCACCAGCCCCCACCGCCAAACCCCTTCTGTTCTCCCTCAGTTCCCAGAAATAATTGTCTATGGTTCAGCAAGTTCATTAGCAGATGACACCTGAGATGCCGAGATGTGCTGATCTGCAGAGGCCCCGCTTCCCAGACACCAGGCCCCATTGTCAGTTTCCCTGGGTCTGTTTCCCTTGGAGGCTGGCGAGGCCGCACCTGTTTCTCTAATTACCCAGTCCCGTGTCCTTGTGTAAAGGACCTTCAGCATGGTTGCAATGGTGCTGACCATGTTGTGTTCATAGGAAGCATGCCTGGGCGTCTCCCTTGAGTGCAGGCTTGTGGTTCCACCTGGCTGAGGTGTGGAGCGTGGCATCCCACCTGAGAGCTGAGATCTGGGGGGTCACAGCCTGTAGCCATGTCCCCAGGGGCACACCGGGTTGTCAGAGAAGCGTTTTTATTCCTAACAGCCTGCAGCCCCTGAAACTCGCTCCTGGGCCTCTTCAGATCCTGGTCCCACTTGGGCCTTTTTCCTTTCAGTTTTCACGCCCCCACAGAACAGCGCGCGGGTCTGCCCTCCCCTGCCAGCAGCAACCCAGCAGCTGGCTTCCTGCCAGCCGGGGAGCCCGGCTGTCTGTCCTCAGGGCTGCTCCCCTCTTCCAGGCCTGTGCTCCCGCACCCACGTCTCCACCCGCCCTTCTCATCCCATCACGCTCCTGTGGCTTTTTAATTCCACTAAATTTCCCTGCCTGGAATCACCGCCACCATCGGGCAGCCGTAGGCCTGAGCTCATTACTCCCCAAGCTGGATTCCACCCACTCAGGCCCTGGAGTCAGGTGTCTCTTCGACTCAGCTGCCCCTGCCCGGCATCTGGAGCCAGAGGGAATGGAGGAGGGGTCCTGCCCCCCCTCCTCCCTGCCCTCAGGCATCAGTCCCCACCACTGGTCTCTGGAAGTACAGCTGGGGGGACACGTGTCTCGGGTCATTACCTTCCAGCTGGTGGGGACCTGCACCCTCCACCATGGGGCCAGTGTGCCCAGATGTGGCCCGTCTGCGCTGAGCTGGAACTCTGTTCTCTACCCGTTTGGGGGAGAGGGTGTGGTCACCCCACACATCTCTGTGGGGCCCTCAACTCTGACTGTTTCTGTGAGTGGGTGACAAAGCACAGATGTACGGGTGTGAGGCCCCTGCTCCCGGTGCACACTGGGCAGTAGAGGAGAGGCCAGAGCAGTTAGAGCGGGGCATGTAGGCTGGAGCTTGGAGACCGCGGCAGCCGGTGCTGCCCAGGGCAATTTGTTCTGGTGCTAATTACAATACCTGCACAATGACGGCATGGCCAGGCTTAATTTCTCTGATAGTAAATGGCAAAGAAGCAGTGAGACACTGGCCCAGATGGAAACCAGCCTGCACTGTCTCTGACACTGATTGGCAGGAAGGGTGGCGTCACCGCAGAGGTGGGAGGGGCTGCCCAGGGCCGACCCTGAGCGGGCCTCGCTGTCGCCCAGTAGGCCCTGGGCTTCCTCTCCAGCCAGGCCAGAGTCCTCTCTCCCAGAAGACCAGCACTGAGTCCCAGGCTCGTGGGGCGGGGCCTGCACACCCTGTGGCCAGGGCTGGAGCCCAGCCAGCAGATCAGACCCTGGGGGGACAAGCTCCCCACCCCCACCCCTGCAGGGAGGACACAGCTGACCAGCACTTAGCTTTTCGAGTCACTGGCTTTCAGGAGGAGAAGTTCTCTGTCCAATAAATATTTTATTAGAACGTGGACAAGGAGCTGGGCAACGACCCAAACTTTGCCTAGCGTGGAGGGCACTGAGGCCTCCAGAGCCTTCGATGCGTGAGGTCACTGCCATGGCTGCTGGGCCCCTGAGGTCACCTGCTCCGGGGTCTCTCAGGCTCAAAGCCACGCTCAGGCCAGGTGACCTGAGCTCAGGCCACTTTTCAACCGACCCAGGACCTTCAGGGACCTGCCTGTGGCCTTGGGAAGCCACCTGCCCAGGCGCCCACGTCCCCGGGCACATGGCAGTACTGGGGGCTCGTGTGTCACAGCTGGCAGTGGGCTCCACGGAGCCCCCGCTGCCTTCTGAGCAGGTCTTCTGGGGCCCGGGACGGGCAGGGCCAGGCCAGCTTCCCCCGGTCAGCAGTGAGCCTCGCTGGCAGAGGAGGTCGGCCGCTGCCGCCTGGAGTCTGAGCGAGCCGCAGAAAGGCCCGGCCGCTGCTCCTTCCCCGCCTCACCCGCGGGGGGTTCCTGATGGTGGAGGCTGGGGCACCCCACCCTCCGCGCCCCAGGCCGACTGTGCCTCCCCCACGCGAGAGCAGGCCCCGTGTCCGGCCAGGTTCCCCAGCAGGTTCTGTGTGGCTCGTTTGCAAACTATTTCTGCTTCTAGTGAGTGTTTTACTCTTTGCCCGCGTCCTCTGAAATGCTCAATGAATGTTTTCCGTGCTGGAGTGAAGCGGGGCGTGTCCGGCACCTCCACTGGGCTGTTGGGCTGCGGAGACCAGTCGGGGGTGGGAGGCAGAGACAGGGGGTCTCTTCACCAGCCCACCGGGCGGCACAGAGCACTGGGGGTGGGGGGCGGTGAGTGCCGCCCACAGACACAGCGGCTCGGCCCGGGACCCCCGGTCTCTGGGATGTGACACACGTGTGGGTGCTGAGTTCTACAACTTCGGGGTTTCAGGAGAAAATGGGCCCTGGTTCTGCCCAGACCCCATGAGCGTCAGGCTGCCCAGACCCCATGAGCGTCACACCCCCAGGCCCGGGTGAAGGGGGCTCCCGCGAGGGTCGCCCCACGATGCAGGAGGGAGTCCTTCCTCCGTGGTTCCTCCTTCCCTCTCCCTCCTCTTCTTTCTTCCCGGCTCTCGTGCGCTTTCTTTTTCACCTTGTACTTTTCACTGGAGAATATTGTAATCTCAAAAAACACTGGCTGCTTCGGTCACTTCTTTTGTATTTCACGGGATAAGATCGAAGTAGAGATCAGGCCCCAGGGGCCTGCCTGAGGTGGCCCTACGCAAGGGCCCCAGAGGCTCTGAGGCGAGAGTCGGGGAGGCAGGACTGTCCAGCTCTCTGCCCCGAGGGCGAGTGTCACCCCGTGGCTCAAGGAGGGGCAGTGAGTTGGGTCTGGGGTCCCTAGCCCCTGCAGGCCCAGCCATGGGGAGGGAGGGGACGGCACCCAGGTGGCCAGGCCTCTGTACGCCGTCCGCAGAGCCAGCTTCGTGAGGCCGCAGCTCGGCCAGCCCTGGCATGGTGCCCTCGGCCAGAGAGCCGGGTCTGGACCGGGCTGGGCAGAGGGTCTCCCTGGCAGTGTTTCTCCAGCCAGCGGCTGGGAGGTCCAGCTCTGGGCAGCCCTGGTGCCGGGGGAGGCTGTGGGAGGGCAAGTCCCGTGTCTTTCGACCTCACGACTGTCCGGCAGAAGAGTCAGGGCCGCGTGAACCCTGCTGATTGCACAGAGGACTCGAAGGGTCAGAGAGAAGCAGAGACCCCTGGGGGCTGGGGCGGGCAGGCTGAGTCGGGGCTTAGAAGCAGGCTCACCCCATCCTGAGAGTCTCCAGCCACGAGGTTGGGGGTGCTGGCAGCAGGATGAGCAGCGGGATGGGACGGCAGCCCCCGGGCCCTGGACAGGCCACTCAGGGGGCGGGTCCGACGCCATGGAGCCCCCAGACTGCCCCCGAGGCTGGTGCTTTCTTAGCACCAAAGCTGGGTCGGGCAGGAGAACTTCGGGAAGGGCGCTGGCTGCGCCGGCTGCCAGCCAACATGGAGCTGGACGACGTCAGGGAAGAGGGGGCCCCCGTGCCGCGGGGTCACAGGGCTCCAGGGGAAGCGGGTGGGTGGATGGACGCCGGGCTGGGGATGCTGGTTGAAACGCAGGGAGGCTGCGGACCGGGCCTGTGACCACCACCCCCCTCGT